CCCCCCCCCTCCCCAAAAGCCCTTCTCACCAGTGCGTCGAGGACGAAGGCGCTGAACAGCCGCATGTCCCGGATGTTGCTGCTGCTGCTCAGGTGGTTGCGCACCTGGACAATCACCACCGCGCGCCCCTGGTGGTCCACGCCCTTTGGTGATGCGAAAAATTTTGGGCGTTTAATTGGGTGTTGATATGCGAGCTCATGAATTTGCAATGGAGGCCAAAGAAGTTTGGGGGGTCCGTTGCCCCGGCGTTGGGCGGGTGCTGGCACACCTGCTGTTGGTTCGCAGGATCACGCAGCATCTGCCCCGGGCGCACAGCAGCCCTTCCGCCCCACAGCGCTCTGAAAGCGACGTGCGCCCCAGCACGCATCTGCTGCCTGTGTCGCCCCCAAAGTGACCGCCGCCTCCAGCCCAGCCCACGCGACCGCATGGTCGCCCAGTGGGGCGTAACCCGGCGTGAGTCAAGGCCGAGACCCCCTGAAGCCAGCCGCGCGGGCGCTCACCTGCAGGAAGGCCTTCTTGTCAGCCAGAGGACCCTTCACAAGCTCCTGCAGAGCAAGACGGGGCGACGCAGGGCAACAGCTTCTGCTGCACGGCCGTCTGGGGCTTCGCAACGCGCCCGCCACGCGGCCCGCACTCGACAGCGAGCCGCAGTGCTGCCGAGCGCTCTGCTCGCCATCAGCAGTAGCAGCAGCAGCAGCGGGGGCGACGATAGCACTGGCAGCAGCAGCGGCAGCACTCGCAGCAGCGCGGCAGCACTGTGCTCGGTTGATCCCATCCCCAAAAAATTGCTGCCCTGGCAAGCGGGGCGGGCCGCATGTGCGTGGCACCCAGCACCGCCGACGGACATTGGCGACGCCGCAGATGACACATAACGTGCGACACAAGAGTCTGGCTTGTGTGCCACCCGTCATCAACCTCCAGCAGCCGCAGCGTCCCAACGAGACGGCCGAAACAGTGAGGGCGGGGCCACGGCCGGGCGCACCTCCTCAATATAGCCCTTCGGGCTTGTGCGCGCCCGCCAGTCGGCGTGGCGCAGCAGCAGCTTGTGGGTCACCTCCACGTTCCAGTCCCTCGCCACCAGCCAGCGGCGCAGGTAGGCGTCTGAGACGAGCTCGGAGGCGTCGCCGCCGCGGCCAAACTCGCCGCCTGAGCGCACAGGCGAAAGAGTGTGAATGTCTGGAGGGCGGCTGGCAGTATCGCTGCGACGAGACCCCAGCAGCACACAGGCTCATACAGACTAATTCCGTCGTAGCATGCATATATGACAGGCGCCAGGTCTTCAGTCCCAGTGCGCCCATGGGGAAGCGGACCGAGACAACTCGGCACTGGCACCCCCTGCGCAGCAGCTGTCACTCATGCAGCGCCGCTGCTGCACGCTCTCACCCTCTGCCAGCTGCCTCCCGCAGATGCGCCCCTCCTCGCAATCAAACAGATTTCTGAGCTCCTCCACTGCCTTTGAGTGCTTCGCTTCTGTCTCCAGTTCCTTTTTTGCCGCGGCAGAGGCTTTGGATTCCGCATCGACGCCCAGCCACGACGACCAGGTCCTCGGCTGCGCACTCGCCATATTTCCCGATTATATACAGCTAGGTGCGGCGTGTCTGGCCGGTGCTGTGGTCTGCAGTCTGCAGGGCGCCAGGACCAGCGGCAGCAGCAGATAGGGGCGTGGGTAGAATGTATTTGATATACGTTGATCTGATGTTACAAATGAAGTGAATGCCGGTAGCTTTGTGGGCGGGGCGATCGCGATGAAGCTTTTGGCGAGTATCGATAGTTTTCGGGGCACTTGGTTGCAGCTGCTGGCGTAGGTGTCACAACTGTGACACAGGAAGATAAGGCTTTCTCGCTTGGTTATCTCCATTGCGTGCGACCTCCTTGCCGCTGTGCACGCGCTCACACTTATAGCCAGCGGGCGAGGAAGGATGACGCACTTGATTAGACCCCACTTTACTAAGTCTAGTATGCAGGCGGCCCAGCGAGCGCCAGTGCCGCGGGGTCTGGCGGGATCGAGGTGAGATCGGTGTCACAGCCCAGCATCGACCAATGGGGGCCTTCAAGCGGAAGTTTCAATGATAGAGAAGCATAATCAACCTGATTTCTCCACTCTGGCGCAGGCCTGCTTCCAGCCGGCCTGTTGCGAATCCTGCAGCTTGCACGCAGCGGCGCCGTGTGCCGCTGCAGGTGCGCGCCCAGGGCCCAGACACAGGTGAGCCATGCGCAGCGCTCCTGAAACAGCAGATTAGGTAATTGGTGGTGTGTGTATCTTCCCCAAGGCTTACATTTTCATCAAGGCTTGATTGCATGGAACGCAGTCGCATTCAAGGCATGCCGGCCGCCCCCTCACGCGACTGCCGCCGACACCGCCACTGCCGCCGCCGCCATCCGCATGCACCCACGACAAAGAGAGCAAGCCTGCGCCGCCGCCGGCGGATGAGCAGCAGCAGCAGCAGCAGGCGGGGGATAGCGGTGACATCACTTTCTTGGGCCTCACCCTCAGCAAGGACGACCTGTGGACCATTGGCATTGCCCTGGCGATATCATACGCAATCCGCGGGTGCGGAGCCAAGGTCGTAACTTGCCATGACTGACACAAGCAACTGGTCCTGCAGTCGCTCCGTGTGTACCGGCAGCCACCCGAATTGGGCAGCGGAGCACAACAGGGGAGAGCAGCATGCATGTAGAAGCGTCCTCAGGCCGTGGTGGAGGCCTTTGTCAAACGGCGGCCTGCTAGGAACCACACGCCAGGCGGGCGCTTCTGCAAAGCGGCTGCGCTGGGCGGCAGTGAGCGTCAATCAGCTGCACGGCGACCGTGAGGGGCATGGACTGCTCGCAACGCTTGTTTTGAGCCCCACAACGTCGTGTCAACCAAGCCGCCCCCCCCCCCC